GTATACTTGCTATAAATGAAGAATTGGATATTGAAATTTAAAAGTTATGTAGGAGTACAAAGGACCTTCTCTGCCCTAGGAGCATGGAATGGTAGCAGGGGAGCCTCCTTCCGGGTGCTGGGACTCCAATTTTTAATTGGTATTAAACAGCTTCTATAGTCTATCCCAGAGCTACTTTAATTTCTGACATAGAATAAAAGGTACCAAGCTAGAGGTAAAGAACAGTGATTTCTCTTTAAAATTTTAAGAAAAGTACTAAAAGACTATTAATATCAACAGTGGCAACATTTCCAATTCATTGCGTCCTTTATCTGTTTAAGATCTATGCCTGACTTACTACTATTACTTATTTTCACCCATATACTATGCCACTCAGTTAACAGTCATAGTATTTAGATAAAAGCACTACTCAAATAATGATATAAGTATCATATTTTGGTGTTTGGTACCTTTTGTTCCATTTAAATTCAGTTCACAGAATCAGAAGTTTCAAGTATGTCCAATTCTAATAACAAGCTAAACCTTACTAAAAGCCAACAGGAAGAAATCCAACCTGGCTATAAAACAAATTCTCAGAGAAAGGGCTCAATAGTTGTTCAGAGGAAGGGAGTTATTATCTGAGAACCACAGATAAAATAGAACAAGGAGAACAGCACCCAAATAATACAAGGGGAAATTTCTCTCTTCTTGTCAGGCTTTTATGGGTATTTGTATATAGCATTCCTTTTTACCAACAAAAAAGAGTACAAGCAATTTTAGTAACAAAACTCCAGTGCCATTATAGATTCTCCATTGACATGGAGGTGACTCATGTCTGTCTCAGTACTTTCATCTTTCATTTATCTACTGCTGGAGTCTTCTACATGCTATAGTCCAATCACTAAAGATAGTATTAAGGATTTGAAAGTCTCCCTAATAATGCTGCACAATTTCATTATCAGGACAGAAAATGGCTTATATACAAACACTTATACATATACAAGGACTGTGTGTTGGATGGAGATCAATGACATAAAAATATATGTTATATTTTAAATTTTTTTACTCTATTTTTTTTAATCTTCAATAAAAATTCTGGAAGTACAGGCAATTAGAAAAGGTTCAACTTAATAATCAAAGTTGCAAATTAAAACAAGGTTCTAGGGCCGGGGATTTAGCTCAGTGGTTTCACTGCCTGCCGCGCAAGTGCAAGGACCAGAGTTCGATCCCCGGTACCAAAAAGGAAAAAAAAAACAAACAAGGTTTTTTATATTAAACTATC